AAAACCTTCAAGATTCAAATCTAACATCTGGTGCTGAAACCGGGGAGGAGGCTGAGGCCCCGCTCCGGTGGGAACCTCTGTCCTCTCATTACCAGGACCTCATCTAAGCCCCACACCTCGAGACACTGCATAAGTTCCCCCGATTCTGCGCCCCAAGCCGGGTAGTCCTGCCTGAAAACGCGCAGGCATGTCAAGGCGACTCTACCGAGTCACCAGGTGACTCCTGCTTGGCGCCTGAGGATCGGGAGACGGCCCCTCCTCAAGATAGCCACCTTCCATCCATCCACAGCCTGGGATTCTAAATGGGGACGCCTGTTTTAATCCCTGGCCTGACCAGCAGGAACCATGAGAACTGCCCAGTCCAAATTCGACTCCCAAACCCCTCTGGGTTACCTGCTGGCCAATCTCGAAACTCTGGGCCTCTCACAAGACTTGAGAAGGTGCCGCCTTATCCATTACTGCTCGGTGGCCTGGCCCCAATACCAATTGGACAGTCAGTCTTGATGGCCTCTTGAGGGCACCTTTGACTATCAGGTCCTCAGAGATTTGGATAACTTTTGCAGGCACCAAGGCAAATGATTTGAAGTCCCTTATGTACAGGTCTTTTGGGACCTATGCTCTCGTCCCTCCCTCTGCACCCGCTGCTCCATTTCCCAAGTCCTCGCTCAGATCACACCGGCTCCATCTGCCCCTAAAACCCCCGAATCCTTCCCCCCCACTTCTCCTCTGTCCAAAGCCCCAGAAACCTGGCCAGCCTGCCGGCTCAGGGGCCAGCAGCCCTTCCTCCCCCTCTCTCCCCTTTTCCCTGTACCCTCTGTCTTCCGGGTTCTTAACTCAGTGTTGGCTGCTCCACTCCTGGCACCCGGGGGTCCCTTTCCCCTTTCAGTCTTGCTTTTTGTCAATTGTAACTGCTTCATTCTTTTTTCCGGAGCTCCTGGAGCTCCCTTTACCCGTTTTTCATGTGCTCACTGGTTTCTTCCCCCACTCTTGTCTTTTAAGTTCCCCTACCTGGATTGGACCAAATTTTTACTTTCTTTTTCCCTTTCTCTCTTCTTCTTTGTCTTAGCAAGGATCCATGGTTATTTCCCCTTGCCTTTACCTGTTTTTAGCCTTTTTCCAGGGGCCGCCCAGCAGGAATTATGGGAACTGCCCAATCTAAATCCATTTTAAGTGGACCGGCCTCTCCTTCTCGAACTCCTGGAGTTCTGCTCACATTTCTGAGCTCCTGGAGCTTGGCCTTAACTTCTCATCTGCTTCTCCCTCCAACTTCTGCAGCCATCATCAAGCTCCTGACCCTTTTTACTTCCGCTTTGGAACTGGACCAGGTTTCATTTGGAATTAACTGGCTTCTCCTTTCTGAATTCAACTTTAAATTCCTCCTCCTCTTTTGAGCTCCTGGAGCCCAATTTTGATTTCCTATCTGACCTGTCCCTCCCGACCCTCTCTACCTGTTCCTCTGACTTCCCACTTGCTTCTGATACAGCTCCCGCAGCAGCCTTGCCCCCGGTGTGCTCACGTCCCTTCCCCTATGGGCCCCACCCATCTGCCCCGCCATTGCCAACCGTCCCACACACCCATTTCAAAGTCCTCCTTACTCGGACACCCCCCTTCTTTTCACATTGGCTCCATCGGCCCTAAACGCCCCTAAATTTTCGAACCCTCTACCCCAGCGGAAGCTATTCTCCTAGCCTCCCATTTTCTTTTTCAATCGTTCCTGCCCTCGACCTCCCATTCCTGACCTGTGAGGATGGCATTTAATTTTTTTTTTTTTTTTAAAAAGATGACCGGTAAGGGGATCTTATCCCTTGACTTGGTGTTGTCAGCACCACGCTCTCCCTAGCGAGCAAACCAGCCATCCCTATATAGGGATTCGAACCCATGGCCTTGGTGTTATCAGCACCACACTCTCCCGAGTGAGCCACGGGCCGGCCCTATTTAAAGTTTTTAATGTCCAGGAGGAAATGGTAGAACCTAAAAGACAAGCCCGGGTCCATCAGAAGGTCCAACTCCAAGCCCAAGCCTTGGTAGCAGCCCTGTGGCCGGCTGGCTCTGGGAGCCAATGGAAAGGGGTAACCCAGCACCCCCGTCGGGGGCCTGCTTCAAGTATGGTGCTGATGGACACTGGGCCCGCCAATGTCCAAATCCAAAGGAACCAACGTGCCCTTGTCCTCAATGCCAGAGCATGGACCACTGGAGGTCTAACTGCTCTGGCATCGGAGGGTCCCCGGAGCCTCCACGCAGAGGAAACTCGGAGCCAGTAAGTCCCACCTTCCAGCTCCTTGGCCAGGATGATGACTGATGGGGCCCAGACTCGGAAACCCCTCTCACCCACGCCAAGCCCAGGGACATGCTCCAGGTAGCGGGTAAGTCCATTTCCTTCCTATTGGACATGGGGGCTACCTACTCTGTTCTGCCTTCCTACTCAGGCACCAGCTTCCCCTCCCCAGTGGCAGTCATGGGAATTGATGGCACCTCTTCTAATCCATGGACCACCCCACCCCTTTCCTGTAGCCAGGCTTTAGCCAAAGATCTTAATCTTTGCACTCTGAAGTACAGCACCCTCCTCCAATATGTGGATGACCTCCTTCTTTGCAGCCCCTCACGATCCTCTTCGCAAGAGGATACTGCCACCCTTCTCAATTTCCTTGGGTCTAGGGGTTATCGGGTCACACCTTCCAAGGCTCAACTCTGCACCCCCACCGTTACTTCCTAGGCATATCACTAACCCCCACTTCCAAGTCTCTTACAGGGGACTGTATCTGCCTCCTCCGGGATCTCCAACCTCCCCAGAGTGCCAATGACATCCTTTCCTTTCTGGGCCTTGTGGGTTTCTTCTGATAGTGGATCCCCAACTTCGCCCTCCTAGCATGACCCTTATACAAGGCACCTAAGGACACCCCGCAGGGACCATTAACTGACCCTAGCACTGTTAAACACCTTTTCTCTAGGCTATGGGATTATCTCACTGCAGGACCCACTCTGGCTCTCCCAGATCCTTCAAAGCCCTTTCATCTATTTATGGATGAGTGTTCTAGCTTGGCTACCGGCCTCCTGGCCCAGCCTACAGGACTGGCCTATCGGGCAGTGGCATACCTATCAAAACAGCTAGATGTCATGGTCCAGGGATGGCAGCCATGTCTCAGGGTGTTAGCAGCTGCTGCCTCCCTGACCAAAGAAGCTCTCAAGCTTACTTTGGGCCAACCCCTCACTGTCTTCTCTTCCCATTGCTTGGAGGACCTGCTCAGCCACAAATCCCTCACCCACTTGACTACTTCCAGAATCCAACTGTACCACCTCCTTTTTGTAGAAAATCCCCAGATTTCTTTATCCACCTCCCCCCGCTTAAACCCCACGACCCTTCTGCCTACTTCCTCCACTACTCCTGACCCTTTACATTCCTGTCCTCAACTTTTAGAGGACTTTATTCCCTCACATCCAGGGCTCTCTGACCAGCCCCTATCTAATCCTGACCGTGTGCTTTTTGTAAATGGTAGCTCTTTCATTGCCCCAGATGGCCAAAGGCATGCAGCCTATGCTGTCATTACTCTAGATGCCATCTTAAAGGCTGTACCCCATCCCCTCAGAACAACCTCTCAAAAGGTGGAGCTGATAGCCCTCACTCAGGCCCTCCACCTGTCCAAGGGACAATGGGTCACTATATACATAGATTCCAGATATGCCTTCCTCATCACACATACTCACTCTGTCCTCTGGCAGGAATGAGGATTCCTCACTACTTAAGGGACCCCAATAATCAATGGGCCCCTCATCTCAAAGCTACTAGAGGCTCTTAGCCTCCCAGCTGAGGTGGCTATCGTTCACTGCCATGGCCACCAGTCCTCTAAAGACCCTATATCTAAAGGCAACAACAAAGCCAATTCCACAGCCTAGGCTATGGCTCTAGGCTCTACCCCAGCTCCTCTCTTTTTCTTCAACACACCACATTCCCCCTTGTATACCAAAGAAGAAACTCAAACCCTCAGTCAGTTGGGGGGAATTATCAGGAACAAGGGTTGGATTTTTATCCAAGATAAGGTCGCCCTTCCAGGCCGTCTAGACCACAGCATCATTACAGATGTTCACCAATCCCTCCACATTGGCCCAAAAGCTTTATATCAGTTCCTAGAACCCCTTTTCCATAACCCATGCCTCTGAAAGCTCATTGAGGAGGTTCATCAGTCTTGCAATACCTGTTCTGCTGTTAACTCTGAAGGGGGAATTCGCAGGGTAGGACCTAACCATCAGCTCTGAGGCCATCAACCACGGGAGGACTGGCAGCTTGATTTCACCCACATGCCATGTCACAAAACCTATCATTACTTACTAACTTTGGTGGACACCTTTACAAGATGGATTGAGGCTTACCCCACAGCTTGAGGAAACAGCGGACGTGGTAGCTGCTATAATCATTGAACATATCATCCCAAAGTTTCGCCTCCCACAGACCCTACAATCAGACAACAGCCCAGCCTTCACCTCCACTGTCACCCAGCAGGTCTCTGAAAGTCTGAACATCACCTGGAAACTCCACATCCCTTACCATCCCCAATCCTTGGGTAAGGTTGAGCGAGCCAACAGCCTCCTCAAGGAACATCTTACTAAACTTTCCCTCGAGACCCACTTATCTTGGCCAACCCTCCTCCCATTGGCACTTACATGGCTTAGGGCCACCCCTAGGGGGCCATCAGGCCTCAGCCCTTTTAAACTCCTCTAAGGATGGCCTTTCCTGACCCACAACTTTCCAGCCACACCCCCTCCCCTTTTATCATACCTACCCTACTTAACCCTTTTTTTTTTTTTCCTTTTTGTCTTTTTTCGTGTCCGGCAACGGACCGCAACCCTCAGTGTCGCACCCGCAGCAGACCGGGACCGGTAACGGGATCGCAACCCTCGGTGCTGCGCCCGTACCTCGCTCAGCCAGTGAGCGGGAACCGGTCTGTATGTGGGATCCGAACTCTCCGCGGGAGCGCCGCCGCACTTCCAAGTGGCGCACTGTAGCAGTGCGCCACCGGGCCGGCCCCTACTTAACCCTTTTAAGGGCCCTTTTGTAAGCCCACGCTGACTCAGTTACTCCCACCCCTGGGGACCCCACCATGGATACTCCCCAGGCTTTAACCCCAGGGAATAGCTTCTTACTGAAAAAACCACATGCAAAAACTCTACAGCCCAGGTGGACTGGTCCCCACACGGTGGTTCTAACCACCCCCACAGCCACAAAACTCCTGGGACACCATCCCTGGGTACACCTTTCCAAACTTAAGCATGCCCCCCCTGAGGCCCCATCCCAAGATGTATGGACAGCACAGCCCTTGGGGCCTATGCGGGTTCGGCTATCACGTCCTCCTGACTCTGTCTCTTAGTCCCACTGCTACTGTTTCAGGATATAGATGGAGATTTTAGTTAACAGAAACCTGGACAAAGTATGTCTATCTGTGCAGAGTTCTCCAAGTGTTAAAGCAGAAGCTTACTGAAAAAAGGGTAAAAAGTATTTTTGAAAGTCATACTGCTATGAGAAATGTTATCAGAACTATCAGCATACATTTTCCCCCTGGGTTTACTGGTCAAACAGGGTTGCATTTACCTCTGCTTGAAGGTTTTAAAGCCAAAGTTGTGAATGCAGCCAAAACGGATCATTCTGTATGCAATTCTTAGGCAAATGAGGCTAATTTGGTTATTGTTGCTAAAAAGGAAACAAGATTGTAGGAAAAGAGGAGATATGGGAAAGCTATGAAGATGTCGTTATGGTTAGGAAGGTCAAAAAGAAAAAAATACTTTTGTGTGGGAAAGCATCTTGTGTAGTGAATTTTGTCCTAGAATAGAATGGCTGAAATAATAAGTATGTGAGGTAATGAATGTTAATCAGCCTGATTTTGTCATTTCATAATGTATACATGTCTTGAAACACTACATTGTACCTCATGAACATACAAAGCTATAGTCTGCCAGTTAAAACAAAATAAAATTTTTAAAAGACAGAAACTGTCTGAATGAATTTTTTAAAATACAAGCAAGAAAAAACTAAAGTATGGGGACAAAGAAAGAAAGTTTAAGCACGTCGCAGAAGGTCTGAGTAAGTTGTAATAGTGGTTTGTGAAGGGTGAATTTATGAAAGAATTTTGCAACTGCCAGGCCTCAGTTAATTTCTCTATCTCTGCTTTTCACCTTGGACCCCCTCACTGCAGATAGAAGTGGCACCTGCATGTTCCTCAACGAAGAATGCTGTCACTACATCAATGAAACAGGTGTAGTCGAAACCAATCTCCACACTCTTGCCAAAGCTCGAATGAATTGGAGAGGTGTCTAGGGTATCCCTCAACCAGCTCCTGCTCCACTCCTAGTCCTGCATGCCCACTTCCAACAACCCTACAACACCCCTTACTCAGCAGGAAGTAGCCAGATCTGAGTTGTCACCCTATAACAAAAAAAGGTCAGAATGTTGGGCTGGCAGGATTGGGAGGACGGGAAAGCAGCAAAAAAGTAGTGACAGAGCCCCCATCTTGTGAACTCCACCCCTCCCCTTCATCTTGTTAAATGCCACCCCCTTCCCTCTCCCCTCTCCCTCCCCAGAACGTGGGAACCAGAAACTGAATGCTATTCAATTCCTTACCATATATGGGCAAAGAAACCTCACCAACAGCCCTCCCCTATAAGTACACGCTTGTATCCACCCTGGGCGTGACTTCCCCAGCCGCACTCCCTTGCGGGGCCATGGAACCTCGCCGGGGAGCACCCCCATTAAACCTACCCTAAATTTACTGCCTGGCTCCTGGTTTTCTTTGCTCCACTTTGAGATTAAAACCTTCAAGATTCAAACCTAACAAAAAAGGAAATGAAAAGTAAAAATACCAGCAATATGACCATTCCAGGTTGTGTAATGGTTGTAAGCCATCAACCTTAAAGGCATTTGATTGAATAAATCAAATGACAATGGAGAACTACGTGAGTCTTGCTTGTTCCTTTTTATGTAACTGAATCTCAATTGCCCCAGAGAAGTTTACCCAGGCACAGCATGTAGTGTTAGCAGTAACATAGACAACATCTTCCTGAGCTAATAATCAAGAACAACTCTATTATCTAAGACTACCCTGGATAGAGATGTTAACATGCTGCTGCTCAGCAATAGCCTTTAGAGTGGAATCTGCAAAAAAAAAAAATCATAGGACAGGGCCGACCCCGTGGTGCACTCGGGAGAGTACAGCGCTGGGAGCGCAGCAGCGCTCCCGCCATGGGTTTGGATGCTATATAGGGATGGCTGGTGCGCTCACTGGCTGAGCGCGGTGCGGGCGACACCAAGCCAAGGGTTGCGATCCCCTTACCGGTCACATGAAAAAAAAAGAAAAAATCATAGGACAGCAGCTAGATTTCTTGTCATTTCTTCATTAGTAGCTATACTATATGTGGTTCAAGAGATCTGCCAAAGGAAGCAAATCTAGAATCCCATAATTCACCAAGGAAAACACACTTGACCCCTTGATGTAGTGAGTGGGAAGTGGCCAATGAATATTCCAGTGATCAGCTTTAGACTTAGTATGTATTGATAACAGAGCAGTCTAACATCCCAATCCACACTGGCCTCCTGCTGTCCAGCTGACTAAACATTTAGAGGCCCAAATAGAGGTGTCCCACTCACAGAAGGAAATATACCTAATATGAGTACAGACAATTCTTCCATCCATGAACTATTACATGCAATGAAATTAAACCAGGAGTTAATTATACTACTACATATTACTAGTGATGACTCCTTTGGGGATTGGTTTCAATAACATTTAAAAAATATCTTAGGGAGACCCAAGGAATGTTTTTTTGTTTGTTTGTTT